GCATAAATATGAATAAAACCCATCCATCCAATCCCATTTAGGGTGTATTTTCAATTATTTTTGCATCTTATACACGCTTTTTTCTTAGTTCACTTGAGATAGTTGAGTATATCATTTTTCAGTTAACTGAAATACAGTACATGCTCTTCCCAGCCTGACCACTACCTGACCAAGGTGTCTGTGGGGCGGACGGATTAAACGCCACAGTTAAACTGCTGAATTGATTGAACTTCCACATCCTCCCACAAGCGAGCGCACCCGCGCCCACACACCAGCACGCACACACACGCAAAGCAAAGGCATTAACACAGAATATTAAGCAACTAAAGAAGAGAGACTTATTCTCGGGCAGATTAGCGCAGCGCGGCGGAGCCTAAGGAAGGCTTTCGTGTGGCTGCTTTGAAAGAGCCTTTTAACGTCGTGAGGCATCATTATTTTGACAACTGCACTATTCGTGGAGCATTAGACACGGACAGAGCGGCTGAGCGAGCCGACACGAGGGGGAACGTGTGAGGTTCGAGTGACCGCTCAGCGTCACGCCCGCGTGTCACCATCACGCCGCCTCCATTAAGCATATTGGTCAACAGACGCTCCATCTCGCTGCGGGCCAAGCACGGGGCTGCAGGCTCTCCGCAACGGGCCAAGAAATTCAGCCGCGCTAAACTGCTCCACTTTAACTGCATCAGGGGATTCACAAGTGCCTCGAAGAAGGAATCCGTGCTGGAATGAGCTTCCCATACAGAGGGGCCGAGGGCGTGAGGAGCAGGGCCATGGTGTAGGGGGTGCCGGGCCTCGCAGCACTGGCCCCCGCGTGACACCATTGCCATTAAATAAAAAACACGCCATTAAATCCTCGCCTCATCAAAGCCTGGAGCACGGCGCCCTCTGCCCGCCATGCTACTAATGAGGGTCAATAGCCCTTGATTAGGAGGGGGAGAAAAAGCCACTTTCCAAGCTACGTTTTCCGCAGCTACTTAGCCGAGCACGCAGACGGCAGCCACTGCTTTTAAAGAAACCCCCAGCCCTCCATCGCTCACACATCTACACGGCCTCCGTAAAGGTCCATTTCTTTTGGTCCTTTCGCATCAAACTCGAAACGTAGCTTACTTTTCATACATGGAGACGTAAACTTAAGAGCGTGCTTTGTCATCGAATCTCCATACCCGTATTTTTCAAATAATCCCATGTGGCTAATTGAATTAACTCCGCAGGGAGTAACTAGCAGCACTCTGTGAACCGCGGAAATGTCAGCAAGGTCCGTCCTTAGTCTTGTACTGCCAGAAAACGGGTTACATACATTTGCTTAAAGGCGGTAATTAAAATATCCAATTATGCCAGTAACATTTTCTTCAGGCTACAGATATCTAGTGCCCTGTGTACAACAGGTTTAAAAAAAAGAAGAAAAAATGAGAACACGTGACAAACAGACAAATGTTTTTGCGTCACCTGATTTCTTTCTCTATTATTTCACAACCCCATGGGGGGGGGGGGGTCAAGATTTTTGTTCTGTAAACGATCACTTTCTGCCATAAGGTTTGTACCATGAAAAACATCTCAATGGTGATCTTTGTACTAAGCAGTTGAGAGATTGTATCTATAGCTAGACTTTATCATTTGGAACATTTTCGGTGGGCTGTGCCCACAAAACCTTTCCTGTTGTACCTTTGGTGAGAACGAGAAAAATCACTGGCCTATGCCAACAAAAACAACAGATCTCATTACGGATAGCTAGACACTTCTATCAGAAAGACCTAAGCAGACCGGCGAAGAGTTACTGTGCTGCTACATCGCCACTTATTTACTAGCTAACCACACACCAGCAGAGCGCGCTCAGTTCAGCTCAGGCCCGAGAATGTTAATGTTTAATGGGCAGTTCAGTACCAAAGGAATTTGACACTGGATTCAATGCTTGCAAAAATCAGTTTAATTGTCGATACCAATATCATGTGGTGTGTGTGGAGGGACCTTTAGCACTGATAAGAGCCTTATAAACATGATCAAAAAGGTAAAATTGTCCCGTTCTAAAAAGGATGTTCTTTCTTTTGAACTCTGCTCATACTTTTTACATTTATTATTGTTTTTCTACAATATTGTAGCCCGATTATATTGTTTTTCTAGTGTTGTACACTATCCTCCAAATAAGGACATTTTAGCTAATCTACGAAATATAAAGCTTAGTAAGTGTGAGAGGAAATGTATGTTTCACTATTTTCATGGACCTACTTTCTACTCAAAAACAAACTATATAATTGTCAATAGCTGTTTTTAAACATTTAGGCTACTATTCACAGGATTACTGGGAAATTTAGTATTTGGATTGTGATACTACTGCAAAAAAACATGAATACACAGACAACTAGAGAAAGCTACATTTTTTTCTACTTCCCGGAGATTTCCAGCAATACATCCAATAAATAAGTAAATAAATACACATATACATCTCCTAATAACATCAGATGTTTCAAAAACCATAGTACTCTGGGTACTGTACCAGGAATAAAATTACCATTGGCCATGTAAGAATTAACTTTTTTTCGGAGGTGAAATTCCTTTTTTAAAACAACATCCAGCTTCTGTACTCATTAGAATTCTGCTTTGAGGCTAAAAAAATATATATACTAAATATATGTATATTGTGTGCAAAAGTGCAAAGGTAGTCATGGAGATTGAATCATGCAGATTGAAATGAATATTGCCAAAGAACGTCATGAGCAATATACTTATGGAAACCAAAGTACGAGGTCAAGTTTCAGCACTGTTCTCTCAAAACACTGAGAACATGAACGCTTCCCACAGGCTGCAAATTATTTCTGCAATTGGCCAGCACTGGCTCCAAAGCAAACATTCTGTTTGTGCCACATTTAAATCAAGATCAGTAACACAAACTTATTTTTACTCTAGTGCTCACACAAGGCCAGTAATTTTCTACATTTTTCAAACTGATATACAGCCATCTTTTCAACCACTCAAAGACATTCATTACATCTTGTGCGAGGTGGTTTTCAGCACTCCAAAACATCTCTGGCCTCACCTGTTTTGCAACAAACAATTTGGTGCACCTTAAATCACAACCATTTATTTCTTTGTTGTTAGCAGGGCTTGACCTAACTGGATTAAATTCATCACTGGGGAAATCTTCAGCGATCATGAGAGAACCTCTGTGTACTTCAGGATTCATGCTTTCGGGAATTTGCTGCAAACCATTTCTAATGACAGTCAATCAACTGCATTACTCACTACATATGTACACTTATAATGTGTTAACACTTAACACATATAGCAAAATACGGTTATTTTATATACTACATAGAAAAATAATTCGCATGCAGCCATTTCAAGCATTTGTATGCTACACCATACGGAAAGATTAACGTTTATTAAACCTTCTTCGAAGACGTCTACGCTTGGATCTGCCAAAGGTAAAGCCTAATGACAGATATGCTACCGTTTAGCAGACATGTGCTTTCCATTCATTCACATGTTATTGAATGAATCGGTTAACGGGAGACAGTTCTGTATGAGTGTGACATCCAGCGGCTCATGGGACACAACCTGCCTACTGAGAACCACATTTTAAAACAATCAACGCCCTCATTAGTTTAAACTACTGCTCTATATCGTATTTCTTACCACTTCTACTTCACCGATACGAGGCATCGACAAAATGTAATCTTTCGATATGTATTGCAATGGGAAAATCCACCCGGTGAAACCCATTTTCCCCTACAATTTTCCCGTTCTTCCAGGTGCCCCAAAAATGGGGCTGACATGAATAAGTCTGCTTCTCTAACGGATCAACACGGTGAAGAAAGACCGCTTTGGTGCCCCTGCATCCCCATCACCAGGCGCGAATGGACTCAATAGCGGCTGATTTCAATCGGGCTGCCATAACCACCATAATCCATCCTGGGTCTTGATTATACACGGTGGTGTTGAGGCCGAGAATAAAGGCTCCCTTAAATCGGTTCGGCTGGTGATGGGAAAAGCGGGAGATGGTTTTATGGCAAAGGCTCTTCCCGAGCAGCCACAGCATGCCGGCTGCAGACGTGTGCAGAAAATACGGGGAGCAGCGCTGATGCAGCCCGCTGAGACACATCCACACGGAGGGGGAATGCGCCTATTACACGGGGAAATAAGTGCAGCCTGCATTTAAACGGATGCCCATCATTTAACAACGTGAGAAACCTGCACCTACGTCTCACGGGATTAGGGAGGTTAAAGCCAGTGTTGTGCTCGTAAAGCGCGACGCGGATGTGATTTAACTTCAATTCGTATTGCTCGTAGCGGCCATAGGACATATGCCTGGTAATAAACAGGATCCATTTCAGGAATCTGTGTGTGACAAACACACTGCCATACGACACGCATCGGTAGTAATGAAGAAAAAAAACATTATATATGAAGTGACAGGAATCAGCCGTAGAAAACATCATCGGGACCGAGGGGCGCCTATGTTTGGGCAGATCCCACGATGCTGATGTCTACCCGAGTAATTTTCCTGGGCCGGTCTCGTCGTGAAGCCAAATTAAAATCCCCATCAACCGACGGCTTTAACGGGCTGCCCGCGCATCTGCACAACAAACACGTCGGCATCAGGCTGCGACGCGAGTTACAGGTGACCCTCTATCCACGATAACTTTCCAACATCCCATAATAGGCTACAGAAAATCCAGGGAATAAATCAAATCACTCCAAAAGGTGCGTATGCGGCATTTAAAGTTCATCACTGATTGTAACTTTTGCACATGTAACGAGGTAAAGAAAGAGTCCCGATCACAGTGTCGCCCAGAGAATTGGAGGAAAATAGCTTACATGCTATAACAGTGTGGTTTGGGATAGGCGGGGATGCTTATTGTATCCCTTCTACACAACATATGCGGTCACATGGCAGTGCTCAATCGCCATCGGTAGCCACGTATGCGGGCAATATCTCCGCAAACACGTTTTTATAGAATTACGACGCCGGCAGTCGGTGACGATCATGTCAATTAAATGATACTCGCAAACGAAAGCATGTCCGAAATGAACGGCAAACACAGCATTGCCAGACTGCGCTAACAAAACAGCCGCAGCTGTTCTTTGCAAATCCTTTACAAATATCATACGCAAGGCACTTAGTGTCTCTTACCGCCGATACCTGTTTGTCCATCAGCAAGCGAGTATAGGTTTTGATCGCACCCCTTTGTTCTAACGGAGCAGTGCAAATTCCCATTCCAATAAGCTTGGCATCCAACAAGATACTCATCTGGAAAAGGCTCCACGGTCCCCAGCCACCCAAAGCGACACGACAACCCAAGTACAAACGATAATACGCAAATCAAGACTGCTTATAAACATTTGCCATCTTACTTTATCGGTCAGCCATGGGATCAATCTTTCAGAGCAGCATTGTTTTGAGAATATTGCCATACGCCTACCTGTACGTAAGGTGCAACAGTTCCACATCCACAAACGGTCCGCTTCTGTTTTTCTCCTACAAGCAAAAATTTTGTTTGTGACTCCAGTGAGAATCCTCGAAAGAAGCCCACAAGGCGCTCACTGCTGTATTTGCATTGTAATCGCCAAACCCTTAAGAAACGGTCTTGCTTTCTTCAGGAACGAGTCTGGGAGTAACTATCTCTTTAAATACGGAAGATACCATAATGACCATGGGGGTGCTGTTAACGTATTTTCAATCAAATTATGTTGATAGTAGAAGCATAATAATAGTTTTCTATTCTAAATGTTTTTAGAAAACTTTAAAACATACATATGATATATGTGAAATCTTTTTAGAATTTTAAATATACAACTAAATTTATGAAATGTGGTCATAACGCCCATTTTATCCGTGGTAGTCGCCCGTCGTTAATCAGGTATTTTTGGACCAACCCCAGATGTTGGAGAAATGGTTGTATTTATCTGAGCGGTAGATGGTGTCTGAGAAAAAAATACTATTTTATTTTAATGTAGTCGAAACAAGGCGAATGCAAGTAGAAGTATCCCGCATGGTGTTTATTAATAGCTAAAAAAAATGTCGATAGGCTGTGTATGCTGGCCATGCGTCTGCTCTGCAAGTCAGCATTAAAAACCAAAATAAATGCATGGAAAACGCATGTGTTCGCGCATGCTGTGTCAATGGCTACACTGTATGCCTGATACACAGCTGTGTTCTGGTAGGATTACTCTAAAAACGCCAGCCGATCCCTTCTGTATTTCAAAACGTTTTGCTTAAATACCGTTTTAGGGAGAATGTTAAATGCTAGAAACGTTTTTCACAATAGTTTGGGTCTAAAAGGATGTATCACTCCTCAGATTAATTTCGATCGTAAAGTCACATGCAGTTTAAATGTTAACTGTAAGGGCGTGAGATCCAGTAAAGATTGTAGTACAAATGCGGCGGTTTTCTCGTGTCCATTTTTACACAGCCAAGCCAAAACCGTGAACAATCCGGGTCAAGTCTCTAGTTTATGTCGCGTACACTAATGTGTAACTGAATCGTAACAGATCGAATTGTTACCTCACCAGTCTTTAATCGTGTTTTTGTCCTTGGATATTTAGGGGTTTTGTTTTTCTCATAGGCAGTATTATAAACAGCATTCGTTGAAAGTAGATGCTAATATTAAAACAGAGTTAAGGAAACCAGTAAAGGAAGAATAAATAATAATTAGCTTGAATCCAGTCAGAAATGTACACTAGGTAAATAACTTTAGAGTGAGTATTCTAAAACCGATATCCGAGTTGTTCCTTGTGCAATAAAATTGTATTAGAAAACACTGGCTCGTGCAGAAAAAAAAACTTAATGCTTTAACCATGTTGTGCATCTAAGCTGACAGTTAAATAAACCCCTTGCCATTTACATTGGAAAAGTAATGTATTTGTCACACATGCCTCAGTGAATGGAATTGTTATATCCACACTTATATTGGGCTGTCTAATAGAGTGAAGACAGAAACACCAAGATAGGCCTTGGTGTGGGGAAAGGAATAAATGCTTCTTGAATGGTTCAATTGTCACACACATTCTTCACACCAGGAAAAAGTATAGAATATATACTTTTCTTATCGTTTTTTTTTTTGACATTCCCTATTTTCATAAGCCAGTGTTACTTAATACTGTGAGTTAATAAAAGATTAATAATGAAAACTATGAATAGACTTCAAGATTAGAAGAGAGTGTCAAAATGAAACTATAATGGAGAATTAATTAATTGCTTCAGCTAAATCATTAAATAGGACAATGTAGAGTATATGCAGTATATAGAAACCCCAAGTTTATCTTCAGAAGTATCTGCATACAATGGCAGAAGATATGCAAACAAACCCCATCAAGTTTTTTTTTTTGTTTTCTTGATAAGATGAACATTTATGCTAACATTACCCTTTTCTGCCAATGTAAAAACTACTTGGCTGTTTCCAGATAGAGTAGTTGTATCACTTGACCATGAATGAACATTTTAAAAGGGCTGTCTTCAGTATGAGATGAAGGATCTTGCAACCAGATATATCAACTAATCAATGAGTCAACCTCTATGAATCCTATTGAATAGGCTGACAGACAATTGCTTACTTTGAAGTCGGGACAGGAGGAAGGTTTACAAATGGGATCGATAAGATGAAAGTTTAATAATCACTTGAAAAACAAGAAAGTGCTCTAAGAAGTTCATACACATCATATGCTTAAAAGATGATTTATTGTGATTATTAGTAATATCTGTGATGGAAATCATGGCGTTATTAAATCGTGTGTAACAGTGTTGCAATGAAATGTCTAGAATTACATGAATTTATTACATTTAACAAATCATATTTATTTATGTCTTGGTTTCCTTCCGCAGTCCAAAGACACAGTTTGTCTAATTGTTGTTTCTAAAGTACCCGTAGACTGTGTGCATGAGGTCCTGGGTCTGTGTGCCCTGCAATGAACTGCCTTCATGTTCAGGGTGTACCAGGGACCCCCCTGACCCTGGCCGAGTAAGCAGGTAGAAGATGGATGGAATTGTGGGTATGACAACCTAGGAAGTTGTCATGCTTTGGAAAAGCTACATTTTTACAAGAATATATGTAATAAATGACTAAAAGGTAGCTGACAAATCAAAGACTGACTGAAACATTCTTCAGAATATACATAATCCAAAAAGCAAGAGGCTAAATGTTTCGTTTGATAATTTTTTTTACTATTGAAGAGCTGAAGAAGAGAACGTTTGGGATTGAGAAAAATGACACGAGAGACAGAAAAGATTGGAAAAGATCATCTGGGGCCAGAGGGGGTTCAGGAAGAATGATAAATAGAATATACAGCGAAATATCATGGTTAGCTCAGCAGTGAGCCAGAACTGGGTTTGAAGGTAATGGGTCCCGCAACAGGGAGTCAATGAAAAGAACTGAATCATGGAGCTCTATGACAAATGTGAGTAAGAGAGAGACGAAATTGAATGGAGGAACTCTCTATTATAAGAAAAGGGGTAGATAGACTTAAGGTAATAAAGTAGAGAATGACCTAACCCTCGATAATCAGATAGGGGACCACCGTGAGTGCGTGTCTTTCATGCTGGTCACATGGAAGGTGGTGTGCAGCCCTTTTCTTTGGTCTAAGGACATGGGGCATCATGTTCCTCCTCAGCTTTCTGCATGGGAAGACGTGTGCAGAAGGAACGCGGTAACAGATGGGCTGTGAGGAGTTGTGGGAACTTCAGGGTGGAGCTAAAATAAACGAGTAGCGTCAAAGACATCACTGAGAAATGGAAAGTTTACTAGAGGTGCGTGGAGGGACGGAGGAGGTTGTCATGGGAACGTTTTAAAGGTCATAATGACAAATGATGTTTTGCGTATCAGGCTATCTGTATATGGAGAGTAAAAGAGGAATCACTGTACTCAGAAATATAAGTACTAAGCAAAGGCAAATGAACCGTATTAGTTTAAATATATTTTATTGTTGTTTGTTGTTGCAAATGTATTTAATGATCTTTATGTCCAAGTAAGTCGATTTATGAAGCTTTAGTATTTACTCACAGGAGTAAAGTGTTACCCAAAGGGTTACCAGGTACTTCTCAAAGTCCATCTCTTCCTACAAACAGGCAATCCTGGCATCATTGGGGGGAAAAAGGAAACCAAATTAAAAGCAATAAAAATATTATTCATCTGAAAGGCCCCTGTCTTATTTGAAGGAGTCAGGACGTATTATGGAGCCATTCTGTCATTCACTGGTAATAAAGTCTGAAGCAATCCACTTGCAAGCGGCAAAGCAATCCACTTATTCAAATTGTGTCACCAGTAATTGCCTGTTTGGGAAAGATGACAGCAGCAATCTCTTTGTGCACTGAACATGTGCACCTCTAGCTGAGGTAGGAAAAGCATCACCATTAACTAGTAGTCACCACACTGGGTTTAGGGAATGATCTTGATTGTCTTCATACTTGCCTCAAAGGAAACTAAAAGCACTGAGTCGCTCAGGCCTGTAGAATGTTTTTACTGGAAGTTTTGTCTCTTTTTCACTCCAGCGGTGTGTATTGTTTTAATGGATTTATTTGTTAGTTGCAGATTAGAGTAAATTTCCTACATGCTTAATGTAATTAGTGATTGTAACAGTAGCAAAATGGGATGGATTGATCCTGGGGTGGGGGCCAGCCCATTGGAGTGGTTTCCGAAAATAAACGGTAGTGGGGAAATACAGCATGGGGGAGGACGCACACAAATGTGGGGGCCGGCAGGGTCGCCCCCTTGCCCTGTAATCCAGCAGGCCTTGGTCTGAGGCTCCCCTATAATTGTCAGCCTCCCTAATTGGATCCACTTGAGGAAGATGGGCTTTGCTTTTAGCTCCTCAACCACATCTTGGATACACAGAGTGGTACTCTTGCCCCTATGGGAGGGGAGAGGGAGTGAACCTCCTGAGCAGATGAAAGAGGGTTTGTGGGTTCCTCTGAAAACAGCCCTGACCAATGCCAGCCACACCGTGCTGGATGGGGGACTTCCTGTGCAGGGACCGAGGCAGCAAATTACAGACGTTATCATTTGTTTATAGATAGTGTTTCTGTGTATAACCATATAAGTTACTTCTAATTGTAATGTCTTACAAAGTGGGGGATATGTGTGCTTGTATACGCCGAAATATTTTTTTTTACAAAATTTTAACGAATCCTTGTATAGTTTACCAACCTCAAAACGCCAGCTTTGATTGTTGATGGTTTCTTATGCCATATTATGTATTATTGTACTGCTTAGTTACTGTTTAGATGATGCACATGATCAATCAAATTAATCAGCTAGAGGCGATCTCTGCACCATCACAGCCTACAGTGCCTCTCAGTGGCCACAGGAGGAAGCAAATTAATTCATTTTATTACTAATATTACGTGTTATCTTGGTTGGCATAAGAATGGCTTTTATATATAGCAATTCAAATAAGGACATTATTAAATTATTAATATTATTAAAATATTTGTTTCCCAAACACATGTACAGTAAATTACATGCCAGAAATTGCTTTGTATTTAAGCAGTAAGATTTCGCTTTTTAGCCATTGGTGACGAAGCAAAGCCCGACTCTTCCCTGTTCTGGTTCTTAACTACTTTGCTGCTGACTCATGAACTTTTTGCAGCTTTAATTAAGGGTCCAAA